GTCTATAATTTTACAAAATAACCGATTTTCATAAGAAAGATGCACTATTTGTATAGAAAGACTGTACTGATATTTATATATGTTCCATTTCTAATTTTAAAAAAAATTTCTGTTTTTATAAAAAAACGAAATAGGAGCCATTTTTAAATGAAAATGTTCATTGATAAGAAAAATGTCCGATTTTCATAAGAAAGATGTTCTTGTTTTTATAAGAAAATAATTCTCTTAAAAATAAAAAAATTTCTATTTTTTTAATATCATTGTTAGCGCGTTGAAATGTTGTTATATTTATATTCTAGATGAAAATAATGAAAGGTATGGAGAACATGTATGAAATAATCAACCAAACTGAAGTACCCCATCCTGAAGCTAAAAAGATCGCCATCGGTCAGCTTGGGAGCTTAGCAGACACCGTCGCTGGAGTAAGTTAACTTAATGCAAAAATATTCAAATTATAAGCTATTATCATTGTTTTTAGTGATACAGTTACCTTCAAAATTATCAACCTGATAAGCGCCATCTAGTCGTTTATAAGCAAAATGGAGTGTTAAAATTGAGCTAAGTTTCTTAAGTTAGAATGTTAATTAACGTATCACACATCGAATTTATTGAAATATAATTCCTTCTCTTTTACGTCTTTTACTCAGCTTAGATTCATTTTTCTTTTTTTTTAACAAACTAATATAACTTTATTGGGAACAAAAACAAACACATAAATACAAAGAATATATATTCGTCGTCAAGTGGAAAATCCTGTCCAGGCGACAAAGAAAAATAATACAATAAATTTAAATTAGAAATTTTAAAAAAAGGGGGGGATATTACAATTATAAATTATTTTGCTCATCATAAGACATCATATATTGTTGAACACTGTAATAATAGAAAAAAAATACATAAAAAAAATAACAAAGATAACATAAGAAATTCATTTGGATTGGCACAAGACTGCTATAAAAAATTCAAATGCTTCCTTTAAAGTGAAAAATAGAGATTTAAATCGTCAATGTTCATCATAAATTGAAATAAAGCACGCTTAAAAGAAGAATATATTTGGATGTTTTGCAACTGGAATGGTAATTTATTATATAATTTAGGTGCTAAGTAAAAAAACTGTTTTCGAGAAATATCTTTTATAAAGTGGGGAATCTCATATATATTAGTTTTTAATTTGCATATTAATTTATTGTTGTGTAAATAAAGTAAAATACGAAAAAACACATTATGGCGAAATGGTAATAGGTTAATTCTTTTATATATATTGGTAATAGTTATACTTGAATTATGTATTTAGAGAATTAATAATCTTGAAGCATTTATTCTGAACTGAGATTAAAGGAAGTAAATTAGTTTTATATTCACCGCCATATATTATTGCACCATAATTAATTAAAGAATAAAACCTGGAGTAATAGAGTGCTTTCACAAATTTAAAATGAATTTTATTCGTAAGATTATAACACTTAACTAAAAGAAGACGCAATTTTTTAACTAAATTGTTAATATGTGTTTTCCATTTTAAATTAGAATCGATATATAGTCCTAAATATTTGATATTATTTATAGATTGTAGAATATGGCATTGTATATATATATAGCAGCAGAATATAGCAATTTCATGTATTTTTTGTTTATGCATTTTATTGTAACGGTGATACATTTTTGTTTTGTGCACCTGGCAACTTCGATTCATAATTAATTTATGCACTACATGGCTTTGTTTCTGTCTTTGTGTTAAGTAAGAAAGATATAATAAAAGAATTGAAATCTTTGTGAAAGTATCTTTGTGTGAGAATATAGAATGTACCATTTAAGAAATTTGATGCTTGACTGACTCGAAATAGAATGGAAAGAACAGTTGCTAACGTGAACAAATGCCACGTTTCAACAACCAATTAGGTTCGAAATACCCACATTACGTCACTTGCTAGTATCCCATTAGTGTGTGTGTTTCTATCCCAGATTAATGTTTCTCTCTTAATATTGTCTCTTAAAAATAACTGATTCTACTTAACTGATAACTAAAATAAAATAATAAAAAAATGATAAATATTTATAAAAAGTTAATTTTTGATTGTGCGTGAAAAGTTTTCGATTCGCTTAAAAATTAACATTAAGTGGTCGGAACTTAGGACCGCTCTCCAGGCCAAACTATTCGGACCGCAATGTCCAGATTGCGGCTACCCCTTATGTTATGGGGGTCGGAAATCTGAATCCGTTGTGGGGGGGAGGTATGTTTATTCAAGTGCTTTTTTGTGTCTGATTTCATATCTTGAAATATCGTCTGCACTAATATATTAGCATATTTCAGGCCACCCATCTCGAATCATTAAGAATGAGTCCTAGAACGTAAAGATCCGATCATTAGATTAAAAGTTATTAAGGGTGACCTTTTTTTTTGCGCACTGTGCAGTTTTAGTAACATCATTTACATTAAATTTTAGTTCTTAAAACTTCGAAATTCTTACATCATAATGAAAATATATTAATTTAAAAGTAATCGATTTAGTACATTTCGTGTAATACCCTTTTCAACTTAAATTATTATATGTTTAATTGTTCTTTTGTTAATTTCTGTTTATTTACTTGCAGTCTCTTGCTGATTCGAATATTGGTGGTAATTTTTTGCCATTTGAACTAAACCAAGCAGAAGAAGACTTGAACCACAATGCAACGGAACCAAATTATTTTATTTATTACGGTAATGTTACCTGATTTTTTTTACCAACTAGTCAGAACTAAAATTTATTACTTTTAAATTACTTGCAATTAAAAATAAAGATTTGCTTCCATTGTTAATTTCCAGACTTGTTATTAAGCATAAATTCTTTTTTTTTTCAGGATAAAAATTGCAGTGAGTTAAGTTTAATTAATTAAGTTTTAATAAATATTGCTTCATTTGTTTACTAATTAAAAATGTTTCATAAGAAATTTCGTCATATGGTCATGCAATACCATGTAATTTTAGATCATATTACGATACAGAAAGAAAAAAAACATTTTTTTCCCCAAAAAAATTCAACTGCAATTAATTTTCATTCAAAAATTTAAATAATTTTATTCCTGACATGTTTTAACATCAAATTATTTTAAAGCTCCCGCAAAGTTTTTGATAAAAAAAAAAAAAAATATCCGTTATTTTAGCAAAATATATATAATAGTAGAAATATTTTCAACTAGTGTATTATGGTTTTAGTAAAACATTACTTAATATATAAGAATGTTTGCTTAGAAAATACTAAATCGACTTCCTATTTTTTTGTTTCCTTTGTCTATAATTTTACCAGGTCTATAATTTAATCTTTGTCTATAATTTAACCAGGTGGAATTTTCAACCCCTTGTGGTCATATACCTACTCTCAGTCACCACAGCAAAGTGCCATACTGATCTCATACGTAGTGTTTGCTCTTTTAGAACCATTGTCACAAATATAGTTAGTCTACTGCAAGAACTCCCCTCGCCACAAATTCTGAGACGGTCTTATTCTATGGAAACATTTCAAACATAGCGCATTTCAGGGAGGGTAGCTTCTTTTTACTCTAAGCCTAACACAGTGGCTCCTTGGGGTATTCATCCACTTTTCCTTCGAGGTTAATATCTTCCTTACCTGTACTATGCATGATTCTTTATCGCCTTACGAGATCATCGCCAACAAAACCAATTATTTTTATTTTTTGAAATGCCGGATGCTATTTAGGCAAAGTATGAAATAATCGTCCTGATGAGGTTATTATGTAAAATCTTTAGGAATGGAACTTTACAGTCATGTATATAAATATAAATATATACTTTCAAACTTTTTGTACTTAGAAACATTCTGAAGTCGTTCGGACATAAATTTTTTTTTATTGGAATCGCAGGAGTCTGAAAATTTTCAAACTATTTGCCCTTCAAAAATTTCCGGTGTTCTTGGTACTTAGAAAATTTCTTAAGTTGTTTGTACTTTAAATAATCTTCAAAATGTTTTGACTTTAAAAAATGTTCACATTTTTCGTACTTAGAAATATTGTGAAGTTATTGTAACATGAATTTTTTTTAATTGGAAAAGTAGGAGTTTGTGAAGTTTCCAAAAATTCTCTACTTAGAAAATTTCTGACTTTATTGGTACTTTGAAAATTTCTGAAGTTATTTGTACTTTAAGTAATTTTCAAAAAGGTTTGACTTTGAAAATTTTTAAAATTTTTTGTACTTAGAAATATTCTGAAGTTGTTTGTACTTTAAATAACTCTGAAATTGTTTGTCAAAAGTATCTATAATTGGGCTTATTTTTTAGAGCAGTTAAGGCAGTTAATTTTTTTTCTCTATGCAAGGTTTTCAAGCATGCTTCCATTCTAGGTTCAACCATTCTATCCCTATAGATTGAGTCAAATTGAGCAACAGGCTCCATTTCTTATAATGCCCTTCCAGCCAAATTAAGCTGAACGTTCTATTCCTTATAATGCCGTTTCTGTCAGATTAAGCCACAAGTTCCATTCCTAAAAATTGAGTCAAATAAGGTCGCAGGGTTCATTCTTGAAGATTGAGTAAAATT